TAATAACCCTCTCCCAAATGAGGAAATTTCTGGAAGGCTGAGGAGGGGTCAGTAGACTCGGAACGCTGTTCCCGGCAGTCATTTTCCGCTTCAGAGCTCTTGCATTGTTAGTTCGGCCCTCATCTCATAACCTGCTCATTTATCCAGATATCTCGAGGGAATCATTGCCAGAGGGATGGGGAATTTCTGTGGTATTAGAGGGATGTAATCATTTGTCACCGATTGAACTCCTCAAATCCCGGTCGTATGCAGAATGGACACAAGATTGAAAGATCAGATTCCTCAAGAGTCTTTTTATTCAAGCTAACTCCAGCCATCCAGGTTCAATCACACTCGATAACACAGAGATGCAAGAAGAGAAATTCTCATCATCAGCATCAACAAGGCATGCGAGTCTCCTAGATATAACTAGATCGGACCTGTCCGAAATGATAAAGTGTAAAGGATATCACTGCATTGGACTTATATAGGTCTTCGATGGAAGCACCTCGCGACTCCTGCTCGAGAGGTGGAAAAAAAAAATTAAGCAATAGGACATCATCTAAAAGAGAGAGAGAATATTGCTATCGATGAGAGTCAATTGGTCCCCTGTCGAAAACAGCTAGGTAGCTGGGTGAAAGATTAGAGCGATGCAAGAAAATCATCCCTTTACCTTTTTGACTCTATCTTGCAACTCACCGAACCCATTAAAATAGCGAGCTTCGAAGCTCGGATGTTGGAAGAATGGATCTAGTAAGTTTTCATCACAAGGGAAACGATAGTGAAAGGTGAAAGGTTTACAGAGCGAAAACGAGGAAGAACTTGATGGGGGGGAGAGGGGGGGGGGGGAGATGATCGTGATCCATGTCCTTCCATCATCACCGCCCTAGTTTCCCTATTGCTATTCGTCTCCGATTCCTGACAAGAAAGAGGAAATTTTTGTCCTACTGAAAATTCAGGTAACATTACCTTATAAATAACATCCCCTGGTCCTTAGGGCAGGAGTGGAAAGGGAAAGGAAGGATAAACATAGAGAGAATCATTTATGAAAGAGTTCTATCTTCCCCGAAATGGAAGTTGATATCACACAGCTGTCTCGAAGTCCACTGGAGGAGACACCAAGATCAAAGGAGTGTCAGGTACGTGGGAAGCAGGACGTTTACGCTGTCCTCGCCTTTGTTCTTGTCTTCCGATTGAGACAGTCTGCCTCCCAGTGTTGCCCACTAGCTATAGGGCCGTGTCCGGGACTTTGAGGAATCCGGCGGTGAAGAGAGGAGGGAGGGGGAGGCGAGCGGATTCGTCTGGGGATTCTTCATTCAGGAGGGAACCGTTCGCATCTCCCTCGTCGTATCCCCTTCTCAACAGAATTTCGTTCTCCTCCGAGATGGCATCGTGACCCGTGTACGGGGGGGGTGTCATCGTCAATCGGAGCTGTCCTACTGGAAGAGAACGTTCATCGACCGTCCTTCATCGACCATCTTTATCGACCATCCTGCAGGACGCGATGGCGACACTCACCGGTTTCCACGTCGTCGCTGTCGATGAAGTCCGGCTCGTCGGATTTACTGGGGAGTTTGATGAAAGGCATTTTCCCTGCCATGGACGTATCACTTTCCACTCGAGGAAGTCCCCTCACGCTGGAGAAGTGGAAATCGGATTTCAACCCATTACCTCTCTTTCGAGTCCCCGAGAACATACGTGAACATACCTGAGGGTGACCTTCTTCTTGAGGCGTTGTCCGAGGTCGGAATAACCCCGGACCATGCCGCGAAGACGGGGCGTAATATTCATCGGTGTCACGATGGACAAGGGCTGGGACGGAGTCGACGGGGCTGAATACGCTGTCGAATCTTTCTCGACGAGGAAGGACTTCATCGGGAATATGGACGGGTTTGAACTAGGGTTCGGGGAATTCGAGGGTGAACCTACGGGGCAAACAATATTCCATCTCTTATTAGGGTCATTATAAGGTGCGCAACAGCTGCACAATCTAAAGTTTAAGGCGAAACAACTGAAGCGTGATGGATTATTTTTCTACTTCTTGTCAGTTACGAGATCTAGAGTTTCTCAGTGAAACCACTTTATGGACCCTCGTTATCAGGAAAATATTATCACGCATTAATTCTTGATACATAAATGTTGGTTCCTGTGAGAAAACTTAGACTAGAAAGAAATCGATACCGTTCGATGAAAAGGTGGCTCGTGAGCGGCATTTTCAACGAAGAGGAGCTACTAGAGATCATGCTCAAGAAAGGGAAGGCGAAGGAAAGCTAGAGTGCGCATAGGGTGCGAAAAGAAAAAGAAAGAAAGAAATTAAGGAAAAAAGTATTAGTCGTCGTCACCACCAATGATCAGCTGTATGGGACAGTATGCACCTTGAGTGATGGGAGAGGGTGGGGGAGGTTGAGGTTCAGGGAATGGCAAGACACAGAGCCGCTTTCGATCTTCCAGGTACATCTCGAAGAATTGGTCCATCTTGGACTCCAGGTCGTCCACCTGCAAACGGAACAGAAAATTTCGGATCACGGGGGAGAGTCGGGATTCGCCTTTCGCAAGCTCTGTCCTGCGTCCGAGGTCGACCGCAATCTCGTATTTCCCCGCAAAGTGTAAGGTGTGAAATTTACCGGGGTCCCTGGGTCAAAGAGGCGAAGGGATTAACCCCTCCACGCTTTTATCGTCTTACCTGCCTCTCGATCTTGACCACTCTGGAAGCAAGGCTTTGCTTGGATTCGTAGACATCTTTGCTTTTGGACCCTGGTCTCCCAAGTATCACATCCAGCCTGAAGATCGTCAAAAACATCACCATCAAAGGACTCATGCACTTCACTACGTGTCAACAGGAAAAGTGGTCAACAAAGACTTAAACATTTGACGAGATTTATTGCTGTTCTTTGATGAAAAGGAGAAATTGTGAGACATTTTTCAACATTTTAGGCTCGGAACTGCTAGAACTTTTTTTTTTTAAGATAAAAGAAAACAAGGACGGAGACTTGCATCATAGTTTCATTACGAAAGGGTCAAGACAGGTATATAACTACGAACAAGCAAGATTTGTAGATGGCATTCGACAAGGCACTACAAAACGAAATCTGCGCCGTTCGTGAGATCGAGGCTGGTTGAGTCCCATGCCCATTCATGGAAGACGTGCATAAAAGCACACTTTGCCATGCAGAAAAGTGAAAAAGATGGAACGTTTGTCCCTTCATGCCATCATTCGATGCCGTGACCATGCACTACCTCGGTAACCCCAGCTTTAAAAACAAAATAATCGGAGACGCGTTTCTATTAGTGGAAATTAGTTTTCATTTACAACTGACTGGTAGAACTCAGGACATCATTGCAGAGTCGATAGAAACCTGGCAAGCAGATCCACTACAAGGGTTCTCGGAAGTGTGACCGAGACGCATCGATTGATTGACTTTACCCTGGTAGTAAAAATATTTGATGGTCCTCGCCATGCTCCTTCCTAGCGGCAAAAACAAATATTAAAAGAATCTATACGGAAGCTAACGGAGCTAAACGGAACAGGTCGTGCCGGCAAGCAGAGAGTGATGCTGAGACAGAAAAAGCAGGAATAAATGCGGGCAAGGTGAAAAACAACCATGGGTACCTGCCGTGAAGGTGCTTCACTCTATTGCAGAGATCAGTGTGCCCTAAACTGTACTGTTCGATCACGTCTTTTATATCGAAAGGTTTGAGCGCCTCTCGAAATATCCGCCTTGCCACGTAGTATTTTATCTGCAGGGAATAAGACACACGTGTGAGAGAAACAATCCAGTCAAGAAGCAGGCGGTGATGTCTCGATGCTTTGAAATTATCCAGAGATTATTAATGACGGAACTGGGGTGTGCAGAGTGAAAAACAGGCGCCGGATGCGGACACGGAACAGTGCCAGAGTATGGTGTGATAAGTGGGATGGAAGTTCCACGTTTTGGTGGGTGGAAGTAGGGACATCAAACATGCAATGGGAAGACTTGTTCAGCTTTAGTACCTTCCCTGGAGACTTTTCACTCGGCTCACTAAGTCCACGTGTCCGGACGAGTACTGCTCTATCACGTCTTTCACGTCATACGGTCGCAGAGCCTCTCTAAATTTCCGACGAGCTACATAGTATCTTATCTGGGAACGGGAAGAAAATGTTACTCCCCTCTTTTATTTGCCCATCGTGTCCAAGCCTCGGTGAGCACATACAGTATATCGGTGTTGAAAGCATGAAAGAATGAAAGGATGAAAGAGTGAGGTGGACGTACCTTTCTGATGGCTCTGATGGCATTCTTATGCTGATCCGTCAATTGTAGGAGGCGAGGCTCCTCTTCTTCATCTGTCACAACAAAGAAAGACAAGATCATATTTGGGCTTCTACGAACGAAATCCCATCGAAGGAGGGTTTCTCACATAACGAAGTGCAATTTATAACATTCATCTCAGCATGCGAAATGTCATCGTAATGCCTGACCATGCCGACCTGCCCTTTCACCTCTCGAAGGGGGCCAGATTCGGTACACAATATTAACGGAAGGGAGACTGTGCAGAACAGGGTATGACAACGAACATGAAATTATCATTATGCAATGCATTTTTCCTCCTCACCTCAAAAACCATGCAGCCACTTCTTATGACCATTCATCACCAGAGAAAATGACCAGCGAAGAGGGCAAGCCTTATGACACGGAATGACACTCATTATTGGGTCTGCCCCATTTGCCTCAACGGATTTCCTCTTTTTTTTTTCCTTCTCGGTACGTCAGGCTAAGCATGCTCTATAATCACAGTCCATTCATCGTTACACTGTGCATGCCGACGGCCCAATTCAGGAAAATGATGATCGCATATTCCGCAACAGAATGACGAGATCCCTCCATGCCCATGCGATGTACGTATACAACGGGTAACGGGTGACTGATAACCAGTAACGAGGAGTGAGACAGCTTCGTTCACACGCGTCCACATCATCGTGCGGTATACAATACGAGAGGAGTTCCGGTGAGGGTGACTGCAGAAACATGGAGATCGTGTTCAGATTTCAACTTCATGCCAAATGCCCTCTTCTTCTACACCTACTTCGTGTAGCACGCCATTGCAGAGGGATCTACCCTTCATGTGCCACTTAGTGACTAATATGGCCTGCCAGGACTACCGTACCGATGCAAGAACTCATGCCAAAGCATCTACAAGCACTGAGAAGAAGCATTCCTCTTCTTGACGCTCCCAAGGGCCTCTTCTAGGGGTATAGGCTATACTACAGGTGTAGGAGAAGAGGGTATCAGGCGGCGTGTGCCCTGAGAACATGATACTCAATGTGTACACACTAGCCTATGGGCCCCGTGCATTATCACTAGATGACGCTGGGGTTTGGAAGGGACCTATAATGCACGCAGCCCATATCGGTAGACAGGGGGAATACAGCTGTCATGCTTCCTTGCAAGACAGGCCACTTTCTGCTCTAGTCTCTTTCGTGTGTGTATATGTGCCTGTGACAGGGAGACAGAGACGTGTCGTGATCGTGATGGGTGGACGGACGGACAGGGGATTTGAAGAAAACCTTTATCCGGCGATTTTCTTCGAGGAGAGTTCGGTCCGAATTCCCGTTGAAGAAGGGTGCAAAGCACCATGGGCAAGGAAGCATCGATCGCATCTGGATGCAGTGGACACAGGGATTCCAGCAACGCAGCTGGGCTTATGCTGCACCGCAAGACTACAGAACAAATTCATCATTCCTCTCCCTGTTGGCTTCTCCAACTTTCATCCCATCCCTTCTTCTTTCTATTCTTTGTCGTATACAGCGTAAGGCAGTTTCTCAGTGCCTATGGTGGCGTCTCAGCGGTTTCGTGCTTAGCACAGCAGTTCCTACACGTGCAATCTCACGATTAAGTTTTGTACTGTTGCTACATGGTTTGAGGTAGCTACGAAGACAACTGAGACTAGTTACATTTGGGACAAACTCTACAAGTGCATGACAGCGAAGCTCGTAACCATCAATGACGACAACTGACAGTCCGAAGGAGTCAAATAAGCACAGGAGACGACAATGCTATCGATGATATCTGGTCGCCTGGAACGAAGCAGCTTTTTTTAATCCAGGGCAATTTCGTGGATGAGACTGCGAGTCCAGGTTCCATCTTACCTCATTGATTACGAGTTGGAGAATAAAATATTCTACAAATGCACACCTATGGGAAAGCATGTATTAACAGGTGTACAAAACACGGACTCATACCATGATTTGATTTCAATTTCATTTAAATGTGATTGAATCCACTTGGAGTGGAATTGATCTGATTTAACCATACCTCAAAGCATCAATCCAAATTATTTGATTTTAAATAAGGATTTCATCAACCTTTTGACTTATCATGTTTTGAAATAAGATATCACATGCTGCAGTAAACATGTAAGACTTAGGGTATTCTCGTGGAATGGTAAATCACTTGAGCATTTTTACGACGTTCGTATAAACACGGCATCTAATCATGACGTACATCATTGACTTGAACCATCTGAACGACTTCATGGTTTGGTTCAATGCTTTGACGTTAGGACGAATTTATTTATGTTGCTTTCTGGAAATACAGGGTGTTCAAAAAGAAACGCAACCCATGGAGAAAGCGTATATTATCGTAACCCATTGCTTTTCTTTCTGTTTCAGTGATCCTTAAGTACAAGAATGGCGTACAGTAGACGGCATATCAAAAGAAGCATTAAAACAAGTGTTCGACAATTGAAGCGCAAACCATAATGACCAAGACATTCAACAATTTTTGTAATTTACTAATAAACATGCATTCTCCATGGGTTGCGTTTCTTTTTGAACACCCTGTATTGTTATTCAGTTGTTGCGATTAATTCAACTATTTATCCACCTCGGACGACGGTCAAGGGCGAAGCAGACCGGTCCGTCTGGGGCCATCTGGCGTCCCGAAGGGACTCGGACGAGAATGAGACAGAAGAGGAAAGAACTCACCGTCGGAATTGGTTTTCCTGAGGAAACTGGACTCGGAGCTGCCCCTGTTGACGGAATCCTCGCTGGCAGAGGGATTCAGGCGGATGTTCTCCTGAGAATTTCCCGTCGGATCACCCTGGGAACTCCGGCCGCGGGTGTTATACGAGGGGGAATGGGGATTGGACACGTGCTTGTGTCGCCGGATCGTCGGCAGTCGCGTCACGAAGCTCGCGTTGTGCTTGAAGCTGCCGCAAAAATAAACCACCACCACCCCATCTTAATTATTATGCATTCCGAAACACACTCGACAACTGAACCTCAGCGGTTCATTCAGGCATGGGGTTCATGATCGCGGTTCCCGTGTGCACAATTCGATAGGGCTCATTGATTCCCATCCTATTCGTGATTGCTGGCCATTTTGTGTTGTTGGAATGGCGTTAGCATGTCTCACCTGATTGGCAATTTCCCACCGAGTCACTCAAGTACAGCAGCTAGGAACCGTAACAAAATTGTATGAACGCTGCTGTTACGTTATCTTTCAATAAGCTATACGTTATCGATTTATGACACTCTTGGAACGTTTCTAAATAGCCGCGGGGCCGTTTAACTTTCCCTATTCATCCATGGTTCCTGCAATCGCGCCTGTATTCGAGTGACCTGGTCACGGTCGTGACGTAATTTCCTACTGAAGCATTTTTGGGCTAGTTCGAGATGCTCTAAAGGTACCCCAAGCGACTTTCTTGTCCGTGACGCGTACATAGAGCAAATGACAGCAGATGCAGGCGAGGGGTTTCCGCCACACCGACAAAACTATCGCAAAGATGCTTGTAGCCGAACGTGCCGCCTAAACGGCTCCTATCACGCGCCACAAAATTTGGACGGAGCAGTTGACTGTGAGATCGCAGAATGAAATGATTGGCCCATGATTGCGTATATGTTGCAGGCATAAGCAATCCTATACCCCTGAATTGCATGGTATTATTCAAATTTCCAAATCAAATTTTCACCCTTCGGGTTTTGCCAATCAGGAAAGGCTTTTGAAGCAGAAAAATATTTGGTTTAATTTGTATTGTATTTGGTTTAATTAATTTGTAGGGGCATAAAAACGGGGAAAAAACTTGGAAATGACATTCTCATGCCAGTACATATTCCGCAAGCGACCGCCGTGCCTCAGACTTTCTCAAACATGCATTGCAGCACTATTCAGCCGGAGGTGGGCCACGAAACTCCATTGTAATCGTAAAGCCATTATTTATATTTAACCTGACAACTTTTTTTTTACCACGGGAAACAGTGCAGGGCTGGTAAGTGACCGATAATGAAAGCGCACCCAACACGAATACGTGCGGATGTCGCAGCAAGAGCATTCGCCATGCAAGTGCGTGTCTTCCGACGAGGGAGAACCTGGGTGCAGGATGAGGGATTAACCCTTTCAGACCCTGCATCCACTCAAATGGACACCAAATTTCGTATGTTTCTCTCGTGCTTTGGATTCTCGTGACATTGCGCCCCGAAGTCCATGACAGAGGACACTATTCTGCACAGCTGAACTCCGTAGGAAGCCCTCTGGCTGCCAGTTGAATTATTCCCGCTAATATTTCTTTCCGATCGTGGTTTAAATTCAGGTCTGAAAGGGTTAAAATGGGTCAAGGATTCCTTTGCCGCAGAAGCGGGAGCTTCTTTGAGAGATTTCTCTGGACTTCATGCAGATAGAAAAATTAGGGCAGACGAGAAGCAGGACAAAAGACTCACATAGAAGCTGAGGAAAAACAAGCAAATTTTCCCAGGTCCAGCTCCGGCTTCCTCCTAAAGTCATCGGAGAAGACACGGACACGACGTGCATGAACCCATAAATACACAACACGAAGCCAACGAACAGCGAAAGAACAGCCACAGCCAACGAAAACACGAAAGACAAGAACATCCTCGAAGAGGACCTCGTGCACCTCTTCTAAAACACGTGTCATTGCTGCCGAAAGGTCACCAGAGTAATCTCGTTCTCGATCGATTCGGAAGTTACTCGACTTAGAAGAGCCACGCAAAAGGACCGGACAAGGCAAGACACGATCATCTATTGCTAATAAAGCAAACATGCAAGTCCTTGATAGACCCTGTGTGATCAGGCCACAGGCATACTCGACACAAACTCGGGTGGATTTTTACGTTTTTTTGGTTTAGTTCATGTTGAGGATCGAATCCTTATTTAACCAATTTTATGATCGGAGAACTTAGTCGGTGCGTGCTTAAACACCAATCTGTGGAATTTCTAAGGCTATTCATGAGGAGGTGATGCCCCTATTCTAGGCACCTAAATCTCTATGTAAGCATGAGTCTGAATTGAGGATTCCCTCAATTCTTGAGTACCTCCTCTCTGGTTCGCCGCTTCTCGTCCTCGACAGCATTGGGCTATAACCAAAGAAAAGCATTTCTCTCTTTTTACATGGAAATACCATAGAAATATTCTCCTCTATCCCTCCCATCACCTCTCTCTTAGCTCTCCGATGAGGCTTCCGAAGATGACTTTTCTCATTTAGATCCTGGGAAGGCGGCCCATCGTTTCCGAGGTCATAATCAAGGACAGCTGATTAGGATCTTAGTACTCAATGCTGCTAATAAGCAGGGAGGCTATGCGGGTAGCCCCACAGGCCCAGACACGCAAGGAAAGGCTAATCAATCGGCTAAATCCTTCTCTTTCATTATTCATAAGCCCCTTTGTGAGTAAAGGCGATGAATAAAAACGTTATCAGTTTGCTCAAGGTTACCACTCCGTTAGGACTCATTCATCTGATGCTGGCTTCCTTCAGCGCGTATTCCTTTTCCGTTACCTTACGGAATTTATACAAGATAATTGCAAAAAAGTATCCCACTTCAGAGCGTTATAGCACCTGAATTATGATGTGTAGGATGGTGCCATCGCAATCATGTGACACGTAACACATTAATGTATGAATCAATTCCAGCACTTGCCAAATCTTTGTCATCGAGGGTGCAACCCTTCCATATTTGCAACACCTATCGAATCATGCAGCCACCAAGGCATAATTTGCATTGAAGGCAAACTATTTGTGCAGTTAAGCTTCAGTATCTGTCTTCTCTGCACTCTTTGTCACCTTCATGATGTACCAGGCGGTACAAAGTCACCAGACGACCTGTTCAGACGACCACACCAGGCATACCGATGGCTAGTGTTGTGCAAATTGACATACAGGCCAATTTGACCGTGGCATGGAAAAGGCATGGTCTTCATCCAAGATTAACTCCTTCTTACATTGCAAACCAAGTGAAACGTGTTCTCCAGACCACTTTCGGAGACCGTGTGATCAACGGACACCTAAAACTACTTTGCTACTCGGAAACTTTGAACTTCGATCCTGGCCTGCAAGAGTGCCTGACCTCACCCTAGCGGACTTCAGGCTTCTTGGTCGTACGATCGATGGGAACCCCGTTGAACATTTTAGAACACTTTCCTTTAACATCACGAACATACGCGTAAGTGCATTGCCTTCCCCGTTGTCGAACTGATTCACACAACGAGTTTGGTACCTCGACGTACAATAAAATGCTCTCCACGGCCGCATATGCAGCAGAAGTGACTTTACGAACTCCTGGTATATTGGTCTGTATAATGGTATCAGCAGCGTATTTACATGATTTTTCCTATGGCATTTCTGGGTAATATGGAAATTATCCTATGGTTGCGCTCCTGTGGCAAGATTTTGTAATTGCTGGAATTGATTCTTCGTTTTCCATATACCTGTGCGATGGCACCATTCTGCACCTTACAGTTTTGGCGCAATAGTGCTCTGAAGAGGATATTTTCTTTATATTCACTCTTTATATTCGCATTTTTTACTATGATAATGGAAATAGACTTCGGTAAGAAATGACGGAAAAGAGAGAAAACAGCAAATTAAGGATTGGGATGAGAGGGGTAAGGATATTCATAGATTCTGTGCAGATGGGGGGGGGGATTACTCGATAAGGATGGACTCACGTCGGTGGGGAAGGCAAGGGGACTTGATGGATCTTCCAGGTGGCAATGGATATCGAGGAATGATCGGCAGCGTAGCATCTCCAGAGATTTTGAATCAAGGTCGCGGCTGGTTGCCGCCGGCGGATCATGTGCTTTTGTCGCTGCTGCTGCTGGACCTTCAGCGCGAAACCCGAACCCAGGATGCCCTGCAAGAGGAGCTCCAAGATCCCATCCTCCTCGCTGGAACGAACCTAAGAACGGAAAGAAAGAAGACCTACCGCGGGGAGGGCGAAGAAGGAGATGCCGAGAAGGGCACAAAAGGAGGCGATGATTTTCCCTTGCCATGTCACCGGGACGGTATCTCCATAGCCCACAGTGCACAGGGTAATCTACGTATCCGCACGTACCATCAAGATACGACGGCAGAACCATGGATCGGATGAAATAGAAAGTATCGGGTCGGCGACTCACCACACCCCACCACAAGGCGTCCGCATAGTTCTTGAAGGCTTTGTTGTTGGCGTCCTTCTCGGCCAAGTAGACGAGGAAAGAAGCGAAGATAAGGCCCAGAAAGCCTATGTAAAGCGTCGTGATGAGTTCCTGCAGGAAAAGACACACGCATATCGAAGATAGTCGCCATTCGGATAAGGACTGAACGCGTTTCGAATGAGACCTGTCGATGGGCATAGACGACGGATCCGAGGAGCTTCCACGTGCCTCCCCTTCGGTCCATGCGGACCATGCGGAGAATTTGGAAGAACCGCAAACCGCGGAGCGCCGAAGCAGCGAAAACTTGCCCGCTGCTTCCCATCCCCAGCACCACCAGTGACGCCGTGATGGTGATCACATCTATACGGATTTCAACGTGATTCTCTTTAGTGGCAATAAGCGTCACCAGTTGGATCCAGAAATTCGACAATATTTACGTCGAGAAGAATGAAACAAAGTAATTTAAGGAAATGAGCCGTGCAATTTCGCAGGGTGGATTGTGGGAATGCAATCCTTCAAGTCAAATACCGGCGTTAAAGCACGCTAAAAGTAATTTTTTTCTTCTGGCTCTAATGTGACCCCAGAGAGAGGAAGCCCATCAAGCCCTTCGTGGCAATGATCCTTTTCGCTTCCCTCCGAGTTCATCAACTGGGTTCCAGATGACCTTTGTGTTCCAATCATTGTACAACTTCAATTGAAAACGTTGCGATGACCTGGTGCTCGTGCATCATTAAGAAGGGAATGGAGAAACGGGAAACGCACCTATCACACAAAAAGGCCTCCGTAGAAACTTGATCCTCCCAAATTTTCCCTGATACCTCGACCGGCATCCTGCGGACCACATTCTGAAAAGAAACATTGCATCGTGTCACCTTAACCCATCATAACGCAAGCTTCCTGCTTCATCTGGCTCCGCTCGACTGCGTCCAATTAGCACACCCTCAACAGAGGGCAGATCATGCCCTTTAAATGAGTGCAATATACCTATCCAGCTTGATTCCGACCCATCAAATGGGATGGGGAAAACCTTCCTCTCGCAATGTGATGCGCAGAGGGCGATAATTAGCCCCTCGAGGAACTCGTGATCACATTAAGAGGAAAGCGCAAGAGAAGGAAAAAGGAAGAAACTAGACAGTGCAGAAAAGCAGACTTTTCTGTCTTTCCTCAACGCAGAAAAGTCTTCATTAAAAAAAAGTGTTCTCTCAGCAGCTTGCCCTCGGAGAATTTTCATCCAAACCAGCACGGGAGAGGAGAGGAAAAAAGAAGAAAATAGAAAATGAGGAGTCAAATCTGCTGTTTTTTTTTCCTTTATAAATGAAAAAAAGGTAATTAAGACCTACCCAGATATGGCCTCTCTTCGCATATTGTCTGAAGAAAGTCAAGTCCTGTCGCGATTGGGATGACAGTTACCAGATCCGTCTTACCGAAACTGATCTGATTCCATGACATCATGCTTAGGAATGAGATTAACCGAGTTGACCCTGACCCAAATTGACACATCAAAGAAGCTAGATTAGTTTCCGATAACCAACTAAGCGCGTGACACCCAAAGAGAAAAAGGAAAGGAGTGAATCTCCTTCACCTCTGGGTCTCTCCCTTTTGCACTCCACATGCTTCCCCACAACCTCCCAGACTTTATTTTAAAAAATTTCTCCGAGAAAAAAATCCCAGTTCGAACAAGTAGGAATGCTTACAGGCTCTATGGCATGAATGTTCATTATGAACTGCCCCGGTCGAAATTAGAAACGGTCTCTCTCTATTCAAAGAACTGTCTCAGAGAACCTGCCTTTGTACCGGATGGAATCCACTAATATACGCTCGGCACACAAACTTGCTTTTAGATTTTCTCTGCTGAGGGGGGAGGCAGAACTTGGAGTCATCTGTGCGATTGCTGGAAGAGATGGATGAGTTCTGGTCCGTGGTTCTGACCTTCATTTCAGATTCATAACGGTGCGGCATTAGGGCGTGGTGCTCAAGGCCATGGAGATAGTGCGCAAGAACTGCTTGGACAGAAGGCATTTTACATATCCGGAGGACTGTGTTCGCAGATGTGCAGTTTCAAAAAAAGGAAGAGGCACAGAGAAAATGAACCGAACAGGAATACCTCGAGGGGAATGAATCCCTCCCCATTTCTCAAACAGTGCAAGGGTCACAATCAAGTTGGTTTGGTTTGTTATGGTCTTCCTCGATCTACATAAGACAGCCTAACCCTCTCAATCGCCCCAGAATTCGGTTAAGTTGTGGATTTCATCCATCAAAAGGGCTTGCCAGCTCCGACCGATCGCATTCGTGAGTATTTGGTTGACACCGAATGGGATAAGTAGGAAGTGCGTAGACCTATCTGCAGACTTACCCAAATCTATGACCTCTGATGACTTTATGAAAGGAAGCATCTCCCTTACCAGACACTTCGTGCTTTGGTTCCAGAAAAAAATGATGCAGGAAGAAATTCCGCCAACCGATGGAAAGCGTGCGGGTTGCTAATGCAACCGCTTTCATTACTGCAGGGAAAACCATCTAAGTTTACTTCTGATAGGCCTACGATAAGTCTCCTGTCGTTTTTGTTTATTCTAGCTGCTTCCGCAATATCGATTGACCTAGATTTGTTGAGGTTAAGGCCATTCATTGAAGATCACCTCCAGAGAGTGATACGAAATGAGGATGAATGCCCTGGTCTGAAATCCAGGGTTCTCCTTCACATGGTATCCGACTCGAAAGCGGGGATTGGGGAATGAATTAAGGATTCCTGCGACTGGCTTCCAGGCCGAAGCCGGACGAGGATGCGCCGTATCCTCCTCTCGGCTTCGTGCACGAGTGCATGCATCGGGGAAGGAATGAGAGAGATCGTGAACCTGGCCAGGAATTCCAGGGTGAACCAGATGACGACTACGACTTCCATGTAGAGAAGAAGTTCCCCGGCAAATTCCTCGTACTCCTCGATCGTCGCCAACACGCTTAGCACCAGGCATACGAACACCATCAAAAATCTGCAAGACGAGGCACGTCATTGTTTCCCATGATTTCAGGACTCAATGGCCTGCTAAAAATGGAAATGCTTCACGTGAATCCTGCGTGTTTGCTACTAATAATCCCTGCAAGTCGATTTTACACAATGCATGTGCCATGACAGCGCGGGAGCTGTCATGCAAAACCGGCTGATATGTAGTGTCTTGGTCGTGCTTCCCTTCCCAGTAACAGGCAAGTCCGAGACAACTGTGATTGATGGGAAAATAATAGGAGAGTTCGACTCGCCTGGTCAACATAATTATGTGCGGAATCCCGGCTCTCGCTCCGAGATACCTGGCTTGTTATTGGAGTTCCATAAGGAAAGGAGACTCATCCATGAAGGTATTCGTTCCCGGTGTCTGGAAAATGAGCTAAGTCTCTTTGCAATGAAAATCTGTCGGCTGGGGGAGACAATGGTAGGAGTAGGAGTGGGAGTGTGAAAACCCGTTTTCAATTAATTATTCCTATCATCACTTCCACCACTCCCAACTTACAATGTGTCCTTCGTTGCCTCTTCTTTTTACTAACTGCGCAGAGAAGGAACTTATGATAGAAGCGATAGCGTACCGTGTCTAGTTTAGAAAATGATGGTGCGATATCGTAAAGGATGGCAATAACCCGGCATATAACGGATCTGGGTTATGGAATCTGGACTGCGCGTTATTTTGGCCTATGGGCTGAGGCTTAATATCAGACTTTAGTCTATCGTGTTTTTTTTAACACGTTGACGACCAGCCTATTTTTGCTTGTCCGCCGCGTGGGACCACGTGCATTTTTTTTGTCAAAAAATGCGTTCGAAATCATAATCTTCTGGAACGTTCTCAACAGTTCCAGAGGGTATTCATTGAAAAAAAATGTGCATCCTGGCATCAGGACGCATTGTCGCCAACGTGTTAAATAGTCCAGACCTCGAAGACGCTGACGTTAGAATCAGTTCCTTAGGAAACAAAAAAAAATCACTCTCCCTGGGCATGCTTCGGATGGTTTAATCTTGTTGTTTCTTGTTTCCCCTGATTGCTCCTTTATCTCATGTTGTCATGGTGGCAAATTGCATAAAATTGAAGATTAATTTTTATATCTAGGTTTCCAATGACACACAAGTTTGCGTCACTGCAGAACAGGATGAGCAACATTGAAGGAAGAAGAATATATCCATGAAAAACTCCTCTTTCCGGAGGGACATGAGTTTTTCATGCAAAGGAATGGTGCAGCGTTGATATGGTGCTTTTCAATCAAGTTCGACATTTTTTCTAGGGAAACATCTTCCTCTAATCGCCACCTCACTGCAATATCAAAAGGCAAATGAACACCTGTCGGACTCGACTGAACAAAACACCCAGGATGACTAACGATTCCGAGCTTGTTGAAGCAGGGGGCGAGTCGTCCTCGATGCATCCGAGGGAGAGCCCAACTGAGTATGAACAGATGGCACACTCGTCCGAAGGGAAGATTGCTCGGGACAGGGAATGAAGGGAGACTCCTTGCTGGTACCATTAAGCCACGGTAAAGCCTCATTTCCTTTCCTGTCTCTTTTCGGCAGTTACATATTACAAGGGAGAAAAGATAGAATCACAATAATGGAAATGGGGTTAATGTCGACCTACCCTCGTACTGTTCTACCCACTGAAAGTTAGAAACTTCATCTTTACTCCTGGAGTAAAGAAGATCTTTTAAAGAGTAAAGATCATCGTTAACTCAAAGCAGTTACTCTTGGAGTTGGAACGCACCACTGGTGAAAAGGGAGTAAAAAGACAACAAAATAAATCATTCCTGGCAAGCAATGCACTTAATGAATCATGCTGGAGTGAGGACTCGCGGACAACAAGAGTCACACGATTGTGTTGGATCAGAATCCGCACAAGCTGAATTAAATATTTTATATCTTCCGTCAGTTCGATCTGGGTGCTTCCCTCTCTCGTGCCATCTCGGAAGGGAAGCCCGCACTGCATTTTACACGCAGTGGGCTCTTCGAGACGACCTTGTCGAAACTCAGTGGGTTCCCAGAAGATAAACTGCGTCGTTCCTTATCGGTTTACGATCGTAGTGAGCGAGCAGTGGAAACGGAAAGACAAGACCAATAATGCGACATGCCAAAATCAGATACTCCCTCTCCTCAACCACAGAGAATAGGAATCTGAATTTCGCAAGACTGATTCCTTGTCTGAAGAGAAGAGGGGAGGGGGGGTGCCTGATGCCATTTCTTCCATTTTCCTTCATTTTATAGGTGCGCCCAGAGGGGCATACAAGACAGGATTTTTTTTTTCAGCCGAGAAGCGGGGGAAGAAAGACACAGAAGGCACCATAAAAGGGGATAATTATGTTTCTCAGGCTCATATATGCATGGCGGGACGGAAGTACCAGCAGGTGTGAATTATGAATTATCGAGGAAATGGCCTGTCCAATGGGATCGTGGGGCTATGCGGTTGACAAGACCTCGTATATTGCCCTCCCCCCTTCCCCCCTCTCTGAGAAGGGTAATGAAATGCGGGTTAATGACTGCACATTAGACCCCCGACTCATGGAACTGACAATTGGATTGATAGGGGAGCGGGACCGCCAAAACCCTAGCGAACAATATGTAAAGTATGTATCGCGTGACACCTCGACATCAAACGGAAGGGAAAAACAGAGCATAGACTAATTACCAGGTTCTAATAAATATCCCCGAAAGGGGCAAGAAAAATGGAATGTAATGGATCATGCGGTGACTCTTCCCGTACCTTTATTTTTCCTCTATGTAGCGACGATACGAGAAACACGAGATCGTACTTTCGTGAAGACTTCCTGTTAATGGATGACCAAACTGATGGGTATATTATTTAATGGCATCTACGTAATTTTATCATACTTTTCTCTTTATTTGCTTTACCACCGCCCCAAAAAGATAAGTAATTTAATGCTGTAACGGACAATGACAATTCGTGATTGCAGAAGCAGAAGTAGATGTTACAGTTCATGAGGAAAGCTGAAGTAAAACTCGCTCCCTCGTTCATTCGTGGGGAATTAGAAGCAGAATTCTTACCCATGCAAGTCTTGTTTCCTTCCTCTTTGGCCTGAAACAGACGCGAGTACTCCCACGAGTACTCTTATAGGGAGCTATGTTTATCGCTGTAATAAGCAGAATGTCAGAGCTCTCATGCATTAAACAGTGAAAGCTAAGAAGGTAGTGTTCTAGGAACCGTTCCCTTTGTCGACTTTTATTACCCTCAATTCATGTAACGACGCAAATTATATATGGCCCAATTTCGTATCAAGCCGTTCACACGGCGTTCAGATTTGCATTTATTTTCGTATTTCTGGCTATGTTTTGGAACACTCTTCTTCAGTGTGCATTCCTGATAGCTAAACGCATGGGCTTGGAGGAAACCCTTGACGTCGTCAGGAGTTGCAATACGTAATCTCAATGCGTAAACCTAATGCTCGATCACATGAGACACCTTCGGAGAGACATAGACCGGACAAAACGAGTAAATATATTTACTCCTTTTAATAGAATGAATATTGAAAACAATGGTAGAAACTCAGCGCTACAGTAGTGTCGTGACTGCGACTTACCGACGCAAAGGGAGGGAGGGGGTGGGGGTCATTTTCTCCAGTCGCATGCAGCTGCTGACAAGAAAGATATTTCGTTCTGATATCGCTAGGCACGACCACGTCATTAAATGACGTCATTCCTGTACAAACAGCTGCCAGCGGAACATAGCGAACTACGAGAAAGCTGAGCAGCTCAGCCCTAAAAGGACGCCAGGGGATGCTGAATATCTCAACAAAGCCGCGAGGAAGAAAGACACGCCCAATAAGTTTTTCTTTTCTTGGTATTTCCATCGTGCGGATAACAAATGAGGGAGGGGATAGGGAGCCGATGACGCACACGCGGAAAGTCAATAGGAACGCCGTCGATATCAATTATCAATGTCGCTCTGTAAAACGTGGCCTAAAGGCTGCATTAAAGTTAAACTTAAGTAAGGCTACTTATATGAAGCAATTTATTTTCATAAAATCTAAATCCCTTCTTCATGGTATTCATGTTTACGGAGGAAGTCCTTAATAGTGCACATGACCTGATCTAAAAACTACACCCTTGTGTTCTGTGTTCTTGGATCCTAAGTAGCAAGAAGTAACAACTAAGTAGTGACGTTTCTTGCCCTTTGTCTGCTTTCCCTCGTGTCAACACGGTTCCCCTGCAAGAGGTTTGCGTCTCCAATGTAAACAAAGTTCTTACGTCAATGCCTCGCCCAGGGACAATATGAACAGGAATAGATTCTACTTTGTAATGCAATTTTTTTTTAGCACTCTGATAGCTACATCAGATCTTTAGAGAGGAAAAATCACCATCGAAATCACCGATGAAAAAAAAGGATGAGTTTAGTCCAATGACGATCAACTGTCGTGATAGATTCCGCTGAGTATTCGCTTTCTGCTGAATGCATGTTTTGGCCATCATTATGGAGTGCCCTGTGTTTCAGAGCAACAAAAGGTACGTCAAAAAGACCAGCTGAGTCTATTGGTAACTCACTTGTCGAATTTATTTCCATAGTTTCTACTCTAGACTGAAGTACGTGTTTGGCCCCCGCACAAATGGAACAATTAATAACTGCTAACCGATCCTCAGCCAGGAATTTCCATAGTCTCTGGAGGTTCTGGGATATTTTGAAACTTGGTGCATCGAGTTCATACCCGAGCGGGGGCGGTGACTTATGAGACTGGGAAACTGTCCAGAAAATGTGTATTTTCCCCCGAGACTGCTACCATACCCCACTATCGCTGGCGTGATGAATGTCGCTCGGACCGCAGACAATTATACTGTATAGAAGGAATGCTTCTCAGACCCGAAACCATAATTATCGGTTAGTCCCCGCCGGATCCGAAAGGGAGGGTGGACAAAAGGGATGGATCTATATCTTTTGTTCATCATCGGATCATCCTCAAAGGGATGGCAGAAGTAATTTCCCGATAGTCGGATAATTACCTGGGCGGAAAGGTCAAACAGCATGGGATGATGGCACTTCGCAGTTGTAATCCAACGCCTCTGAGGCATGATACAGGCCAGCCCATATCGCATCCGGCAAATGGATTCAAGGGAATGCCTCAAAGAGGTTTATAGTGCGTGATCACCGAGAACTACGGCGTTTGACACAACCGCTTGCCGATGTTCTCTCCTGAAGCGAATTTCGGGAGATTAAAATCAGTCTTCTGGAAAGTAGTAAGCAAAAACGATTGCTCTCGTGGAAATTCGTCATGCATTCTTGAATAGAAGCATATGAAAATAAAATGTGCAGAGTGCTAGTCTTTGAGGGTATACCGGAGT